GTCGATATTATTCAGTTATATTAAACCTGTAATTATAAAAATATATAAGCGTACTTGCTGTAATGTGTTATGAATCAATATTAAAAGTATCCAAGTATAAGAACGCCTCATTTGGCAATTCTAGAACGAGTAATAATACAATTCTGACAAGGATTATTTGATCAGAATATGAGTTATGGAGGATGAGATGGGCAGGGCATGTTGCCCGCATGGAAGAGAAGAGAAATTCATTGGTGGGTAAACCACTAGGAAGAATTAGACGTAGGTGGGAGGATAATATTAAAATGGATCTTAGAAAATTGATACAGTATTGCATTTTATAAATTTATGGGAATGTTGTCTGACTTTACACAAAATGTAATCACAGTACGTGTTGGTCCGAGGTCTGAGGCTAGCTGAATCAGTGGTCCAGCAGACAGGATTTCAAAAGCAGAATCCATTTGTAGTTTTACAACTTTAAAATTTCGACGCTGTCCAAAGTCCAAAAGAACAATTTTACTTCCTTGTACCTCTGATTCAGCCCGTGTTTTCTACATTCCCCGCCAATCTAATTTTTCTTGACAAAGACGCTTTTACATCAAATCTGTTTACAGGAATGAACAAATAAAAAATTAATGGATTTTTAGTAATTTAAATAATTTTCTCTTATTTTTTCGTTTACACTTCCTCTGTCCTGTAACCTACTTCTGATGGAAGAGACTTGCGAAACTTCTGGTTGTCATATCAGCATGCACCAGACGTTTATTTGACAAGAGAATGATTTACTATTAGTCTACTAATTGTCCACTTCATCCATAAATAATTCAACTAAAGGGACATGTCCAGCGGGTCGGAATTCATTGTTACTTCATTGGGTATTAAACAAGGTATTAAATTAACGAGAGACCCAGCTAAGACTGAAGAGTGATGTTGCATCCTAAACACGTCTGACCACAACTTCTCAGTTTCCACAGTCATATAATGATTCCGTTGATAGTTCAACAAGAGCTTGTGTACCAAAACAAAGTCGCCATTCGATTCGTTTAATATATTTCGTTATAAACAATTCTCCACTGGTTAGTTCATTTGTTTTATATTTTGGTTCTAAAATTTGAAGTCCCAGCTCCTTTAAAGGGTCAGACTTAATTGGCAGCTAAAAATAAAATGCATAGAAAATGAAGCAGTAGACGACTCATCTGACTCAGGATAAAGAACGAATGACAGGCTCTTGTAACCATGGTAATGTTTCAGATTCCCTAAATGAGGAGAATGTCTTGACTAGCTGAGAAAGGACTTCGCTCTGTGGAGTTGTTAGGTGTGAAGCAATCTGATGGAAATACAGGGACAGACTGCCTTACGCCATATCTCTTGTAACAACCTCCTAAAACAAATACAAAGAGACAGTAAACCGCCAACCACTAGGTTACAGCGACGATGGAGGCAGTAAGCTCCTCTGAAACCTCGATCAGACTACTTGGCGCAACTTCTCAGACGACAGCCATCTCCGTAACCACTAAATTGTTTCCGGAGGCTTTGGTAAAACCACGCTCACGTTCCTAGATACAAGAAACTATTTGGACCTCGCTAGATGTAAAATGGATAGCGGGTACTTATTTTCAGCGGCAAATAAATTTAATCTGGTCATGTCTCTAGCTTCTGTAATGAATATTAACAGAGACTAATTATGTTCCAAGACAGTAGATTATAATTACAGGAAAGACGCAGTAATTAGCAGAAGCCACAGTGTGCAGTGACCAACTTCTGCAAATTCGTCGTCCAGCTGTGTTCCCTGATTCCTTGCGTTAAAATAAGGGTCATGATCGTCATGATAATGGAGGTAGCAAGAACCTCTGAAACGTCGGCATAGTTCTAACAGAATGCATGGCGTAACAACCCAGAAGACAACCTCCTTGTACATTAACAATGTTGCGTTTTAAACCAAGTTTTATCCTGCGTACGTGCCAACCAAAAAGTGTAACTTTATATTTGATGTCAGCGGATGAGGAACGGATAAAACTTTTAGAAAACTTCGTGTCTGGTGAAGTAAGTGGGGGTAATTTTCTTAGTTAACACTGGCTTATGTTTTTGCTTATAACGCCGTTAAATGAACGAGCTTTTTCACTTAGCTCTGTTTACACTCCGCACTGAAATGAGCCCCATTTTACTGAATAGGAGACTGTCTTGCAAACAGCAAGTTCCTTTAAGACAAGAAATATATTCTGAAGGCGTTCCGTGGTGCTGATTGTTGCATCTGAAAAACACAGTCAAATGGGATAATCAATTTTGTAAGCAGTTGCTGAGTAGCAACAATTATAACAATCTAAAATCATCATCCACATTGACCCGACTCCCTTGAAGCAAAATAATGTTTTTAAAAGCGTGTTAACACAGTTTGTTTTGCTAACATTCGCTTTCTATACAAACCAGTAATTCCTACTAAAACAATAATTATTCCAAAACCAGCAAAGAGTTTCAGTAAACTATTTCTTGTTTGTTAAAAGGATTTATAAAATGCTTTCTTGAGCCAGGTCCTTCACAGCAGGCCTATATGGGCCTTCATTAATTTCAAATCTTAGTAGGCCATCTAAAATTTAGGCACACTAATGTTAACTTATTTTATTGCTTAAAAAGTTTAAATATGACGTCATTGGTAGTGTTGTTAATCGCGTAAGATAACATTGAAAACCTTAAGACGAGGATGTTTTTTAATGCAGTGTTAATACATGTACTTCCCGTTTGATGGCTCTGATGTTTGTCCAACGCCAAAAGTTGCACAATCGCCATGTAATCGTTAAATAATATAGGCATTTAATGTACGTAATATGATATTCATCTGTTGGTGTTTGTCGCTATGGAACAGACGCTGAAGAAACATAGGATTTGTAAACTTTATTACAAAATTATGTATGCTCCTTCCTTAAAACCTTGTGTTACGCTTTGCAAACGCTTCTGTACAGACAGAATAAATAGTCACATTTTTCAGACTTTTCAATGTTCTGCTCGAAATTGTAGGTCAAATGCAAATATTTTATCAGCAAGTGTTTCGTTTCATTTCTTACGCATACACAAACCATGAGACACTTCTTTGAGATGTAATATGTCATTGTCGCATTTTATCAGGTGATGGAATTACAAATACGTTCTTTTCTTTCCAGTGAAGGGAAAGGTCATTAATCAGCTTTCTTCTCTGATATTATAAGTGTGTTACAATATGTTTTCTGTCACCCGTCCGTCGTCAGATATTATTTATCCGCTATCAAAGGCTTTATACGGATCTCTACCGTCAGCAGTGTCTGACTTATTGTCTGCTAAAGGCCGCGTAGAAAACATATGCCTCTTCTGCGAGTCATCACGTGGGATATCTTCTGGGTTTTGCGCCGTGTTGTCTAGAAGGAGTTTCGGACGTAATTGGTGCCTCCATCATCAGGGAGATCGCCTGATGGTGGAGGCGTATTCGTTTTCGCGAGAGCCTGAAATATGTCAAATTAACAAATCCTTAGTAATCTCGTAAATGTCAAATGGGTATTTCGTGTGGAAATAAATTTAAAACTGAAAGTAACTCCATGGAGCAGAGCCCTTCGTGAGAACCTTTGAGGTTTTTAAATCTATTTAAGACATTTGGTAGGACGGGATCAGCCCTTTGCAAGGCCTCTGCCTATGCAGGGCAGCACAACAGAGAAAGACGCCGACAAACATCCCTGCCTTGAGAGGGATTCGAACCCACGCCCCCAGATCGCGCGCGGTCACTGTGACCGGCAGATAAAAGACGGAGTCCAGGCGAGTGAAGACGACCCAGAACTTGCAGCGTAGCTGGTAACGCTGTGCTGTTGACTGAAAAGCCGCGCGGCGAGGGGGGGGGGTGAAGTCCTTTTGTCGCCCAGAAGCATATAATTTGGTGACGGCTGCTATTAACACTGTAATTTGGATATCACCTGCAGAAAATCTAAAAATGGTCCGACGTTACTGGTTATTTGACATTTCGAACAAAGAAAGCACTTTAGTTGATTTTGCTTTCGTTTCCTGTCATAGAAAAGTAACTCAGGCGAATTTACTCAAAACCGAAGGTCAGTAGACTCTCTCATGTACGCGTGCAGAACGACACGTGGATTTCAGTTTGAATACACTCTGATTTTTTCTTCCATTCTACTTCACACTTTGTTTGCATAGTACAAAGCCCTTTCTGGAAGGACGAAGCTAGCATCATACTAAGAAATTATAAACGTCTCAGGATCCATTTCAGTCCATTTAACGAGTATCGTGTTGTAGGAGGGGGTGAGAGGGGGGTCTGGTTTGTCGAAGTTTAAGAGAGTCACCCCTAGCCCCAACCCCCAACCCCGAACATGGCGTCATTAACTTAGAACGGGAAGAAAGTAAGTAGCTATTTTTCTGGACTCTTTTGACTAAATTGCGGTCATAATCTTCTATTAAATAAAGTTTCATCCTTTTAAACTTCGTTATTGCTTATTTCAGCAATATGCGGGTACGTCAATTTTGTTTGTACTGTTCTTTATTAATTAAAGTGTGCAGGCAGCCCAAGCATTTGCGTGAAATTTTATACGTCTATAAAATATTAATAGGCGCCGATAGTTGCACAGGCCTATTGCTGCATAAAGACGAGAATACAGATGCTTCATTTGCTAAATTGGGGTCTTAAAATGCTTTTTCTGGTACTTTTCAGTTCAGATCACTTTTAAATCTGCGAGAAACTAATTCTTTACCAGTATTAAAAAAATCACTGTGAATTAGGCTCCTCTGAAACGTCGGTAAACGTCTACCAGACTGCACGGCGCAAAAACGCAGAAGACAGCCATCTTCGGACTCACCACCGTGAGAGCAAAATGTAATTAATTTATTTTTGGACAAAACAAATCCATCTTGTATCTCATTTGTTTACTGTAGACTATTAGGCCTATATAAACACTAATAATACCGCAGAATTACGATAATTAAAGCTTATTTCTTAGTGTTCTGTTGTGTATGCAGCATACTTACAGTCATGTTATTTTGAAATTTTTTTACAGACGCCTGACCAAGACCCCGAACCATCAACGTAACAAAAAGCACTTGAGGACAAAGGGAGAAAATACAGCGAAGAAACTAACACAATCTGACCACACAGAAGATAAATGTGCAACACTGGTAAATATCTATGAATATTTTATCAAACTTTATGTAGTACGTGTTGTTTTATTTACTTCGAACGCAACATATTTACATGTACAATTAGAGGATGCTAATTCATGTGCAAACAGAACAGTGCAAAGAGGCCCTGAAGATTGTCAAAATACTCCGTTTGAAAATGACCCCAGTGAAACAATCTATTCTGCTGGTGTCTCTGTGAATCCGAAGGTATAAATGGCATTCATAAGTTTTTGCCAGCACGTTATAATAACGTCATAACAAGTTTCTCAATGAATCTTCCACGAAAGATCAGAACTGTGTTTCCATGCCCACGTAAAATGTAGAAACTTATAAATTATAAGAAATAGAAAAAAATTAAGTTAATTTCTCGTCGGTTTTTACGAGATTCAGCGATAAAATGCCGTGCTGTCGCTTAAATTTCCATATTTTTCTGCCTGAAGCGCTACACTCACATCTGTCAAAATAACGTCTCAAGTAGAGGAATTCCTCATGATTAGTTTGGAAGACCTGGGACCCCTCCGACAGGCCGTGCTGTCAGTTTCCCCTCCGACATTTCATCGGCTCCAACAAGCGAAAGAACAAAACTTCGTCTCCTACACACCGTTTAAGTTTGATTTATAACGTTGGCCTTCGTCAACTTTGCTTCAGAATTCACAAATATTTTAGTAAATGAAAATAAAATTTAAAATTCCTCCTCTAAATGGAACATTCATGTTGACATTCAAACACGTCACCCTATAACTTTGGGATAAAAACAAAATATTTACAAGTTCTCACATTAAAATAGACGGTCAAAATTCTTCATTCGACGTAATATTAATGCGGCTTGTGACATAAAACATTTTCTGCAACGCGTTCTGCATAACAATTGCATTATGGGTGCAGAAATGGCCGTCCGCTCTTGAGGCTTCAGCCGGCTAGTGCCTCAAGCGCTTGTAGTCGGAACCTTTATTCACGACCTGAAATGTAGAAAACCCACTATCAGTAAAATTAACAAATTATAACAAAGATATTTATTGTGGATCCCTCAAAACAAGCGAAGTGATTCGCACTTCTGTCTGTTCAACACACAGGAACCAGGAATTGGGACAGCTTTTATTGAGACCGAAGATTTCAGAGAATTTCGAGACTAATGTAGGAAAAAAAACTCGTATGAAAATCGAATTTCGATAGTGCCTTAACTGCCGTGTGTTTATCGATTGAAAAATCAGTCTACAAGGAGCAAAGGCAATAAATATATATTTCTAAATTATTTCTAACCATGGTCATTGTTGTGGAAATTTGTTTTAACAATTACCTGGTTCCCATTGTTGCAAAAATGTGTTCCTAAATTGACAGGGTGATATTGGGGAGAACAGAAGAGACAGACAGGGAAAGATACTGTCGTGGACGGGCCCATAAGCTGTTCCTCGCTGACGCTAGATCGTAGTAACTTAATTAACAATTGAGAAGCATCTGTTACTGGCTGTTGTTTCAGAGAACCAATTAAAAGAATTTTCTGTAGTGTTTGAAGAGCCCACGACAATTCTCAGTAAAGATTCGTACCGAAACTTTTCGGAAATGGAAGAGGTTTCGTGATCACTCAAACGGGTTTCACGGCATTCGCTTCGAGACACGAGGGAAATAAACGGACAGCCTCATTGAAGACGCTCCACAGCCCGGCCGATATTTGAACTGGGTGCCTCTAGGATGGAAGCCTAGGTCGGTGCAGCCATATTTATTACGCCCAGGCTTCAACCAAATTTCGACTTGCCTTGAATGTGTGTGTAGATCCATGGTACGGATGGATTCCGCCAAAAATGTACTTGTAGCTGCCGAAGTGGCGAATGCGGTATTTGCCAGGGACGACTTCAGGGTCCACTGTCCACGTGATCAGGGCTTCACTTGAGCCCAGAATGGGGGAGAGACGGATCCAGTAGAATCTGGGAAGCAAAACATACATTTAAAGTGACTACGGTTCAGAGGTCCTCGCTGTCACCATCACAGGACGATGAGTCTCACTCATCGCCCTGATGATGGCAGTAAAATTTTGTTAGAACACTTTCTCGATCGAAGTGGGAAAATGTAGATACTTCAGCAATGGGAAAGACAGTCAGTTCTGAGTAACGAATCGCCTTACCCATGCGGCAATTTCTTCAGCACAGCTGCTATGCGGGTCAGTGTAAGTGAACTGCGAAAGGCGCTCACGGAAAGTATATTCAGTGCTTGACAAATAGGAGAGTTTCGGTGACGGAAAGCCGAGAAATTCATTTTACAGAGATCTAATTTTATAGAGCAGTTGTAATGACAACCACTTTATGAACGTAACTTAAATGTTAGCCCTATCGCCATGTTACTGTTCTTCAGGACACCGGAATGCATGGGAATTACCAAAACTAACAGCTCGTCAGTTAAAAAAATAGTACTGAAAGCAAAGAATGTTCACCCGTCCATGTTGCTTGTTTGTACAACGTACCGTACAAAAATTACCTCAAAAGAACATCGTACTGTGAACTCATAATTTCATAAGCCAAATAAAATATTCTGCCTAAAATGATCGTGTTACAACAGGAATTGTTAAAATCGGTGGTGTTATGATTCCCGCATAAATATACAACTACCAGATAAATCATGTTATGAATATCTAAAAAAAATAATATTCTCTGCTGTAAAATGTACATCATTTTATACTTAATAACATGAAACTAAGTGAAACGTATGGTCACTGCGTTGTTTCCTCTCTTTTTGAACACACTGTATTGTCATTTTTAATATATTAATTTGAATTATCTGTGTAGACGTATCGAAACTAATCCTGAAAAGTAATTATGGCTGCATTACAATATTCTGCAAAGAACTGCTGCACGTGGAGGAAAAGAAGCTTTTGCCTAGCCGCTTTTGTTGATAATATGGAGATTTTAAAGAGTAATTCGTGCTTTCTCAGGCGTTGTTTTCCTCATTACAGCTTTGTATTTCAAGGTCACGTGAGCCCATAAAAGGTTATTGCTAAGTAATTCAGCTGCAGCTGACTACAAAAATGCAAATGTTTCACACGTCCGTGAGCAGTGCGAATGAATGAACAAGTGTTGTTACATGGGAACTGTGTCCATCGAAACAACGAAGTTAAAAGTTATACAAGGTGAAACGAAACGTGCGTCCAGTATTGATTAAAACCATTCAGAACGTAACATGAGAACAGACGAGAGTTTGCCAAAACTCCATTACAATTCCCAGGGCTTTAGTTCCAGCAGTAGCCACCACATTCAGATTTAACACAGCAGCAGCTGTACTATACGTAATGTTTAATGCGTTACGTCACTTCCCCGACTAAAAAATTACTGATTATTTCACTAAAAAAAATTTTCATGTGTAAATTAAAGCATGTGATAATGTTCATTGTTTTATTCTTGACTATCTCATATGTCTATTAGCTTTCAGTTTATACTGTACTACCTGTTTTGGTATAACTTATCATCAATTTCTTTAACTGGTTTGTATGTAGTTTACTACATATACTTCTGTGGATTTATATCGTTATTTAATTGTATTTAGGTTTTCCGATGAAAATTTTGTATGCATCCCTCATGTCCCCATGCGTGCTGTATGCCCTGCCCATCTCATCCTCATTTAATCAGTCGCTCTAATGTTATTTGGTGCAGAGGACAAATTGTAAGGCTTCTTACTGTGCAGTAGAAAAAGCTACATATGTCCAAAATTAAATTTCTTTGGAAATCAAGAAAAATCCTTAGAGCATCTAAACGAGTGAAAATGCCTTAATATGTTTATTTTGCATTAATGTGCGGACACGTGTTTTGCAACTTATTAACACGGTTATAAGTACGTACTTTTCTTTGATAGAAACAATATCAAAAGATTTCGACATAAGTTGGTTTTAGTTCAAAAATATGGTAGTTCAGGCAGAGAAAGACGTGTATTTCGCCGCTAATATTCTTTTAGACTAATATGATTTTTTCCGCAATAATATTATCCCCTTATGCTTGCAGATTTAACCTATAAGATGGCAAAACTAACTATAAATAGCCCATTTTGGACCAATGCTGATTCCTTATAAACCCCTCAGTTCTCTGCATCGACATTCCCATCTCTTAGGTCCTAATATCCCACTCTCAGACCCCCCCAGCCCCGATCTTGAAAAGGTAGCTGTTAGTTTATTCATAATATCGGAATTTACGAGAGAGCGGAGGACCAAATCAGATAAGTGTAGGAAGGCATTCAGCCACTTGAAGCTTGTTTCAGTTACCTCCGAGAGAGAGAGAGAGTGTGTGTGTGTGTGTGGGGGGGGGGGGGGGAGAAGCACCCTGTAACTTGCGGCACATCGAAACAATAGTCGCTGTGGCCGGGGGGCACGTAGGCTTTTTGGAAGACGGGAGGTGCAACTGGCTTTGACAGTAAACATAGAACAGCCTCGAACCTAATTGAATCGGTGAACGACAGAACCTTACGCTGCCTTGAACATATGTTCTGCAAAGTTAATCGGCTGATGTCCGTTGTATACATTTCATCTGTTGCAATTTGAATAAGAAGTTCCTATTATGGCCAGGATGTTACGTGGTATTTGTGTCAACATTTTACTTGAACCATAGCATTGAAGTTGTCTATTTTCAGGGGATTAGCCTTATCAGTATTGAGTCAATTTATATTGCTTTCGACACTGTTTCTGCCTCATTTATCTGGGAGATAAATTGAAAATTAATTCCAGCGAAGATTTAATTGCGTTCAGCCGCCAAGAAATTCAAAACAGGCTGTGATGTGGTCTGCGTTTGCCTGGGTTCTGAAGTCAGGGGGCCAGTTTATGTTCGTATTTATGTCAGGAAGAAGTTTTTACATTTAATATCGTATAAATGTTAAAGACAAACAAAGTTTCATTCCCGTGAAATTGGACGGGTCGTACTGCACTAGTTAACGCAATAAAGTCAGTGGCACTGACATGGCCTAAAAAGGGACGACTTGTCAGGACACTGCACGGACAGTCCGGGTAGGGATTTGGTCATTATCTTATAATCTCTTTTCGATTAAAAGTTCTTACCTTGTCTCCCAGTTTGCATCCGTTGCTACGACCACCCACTGACCTGAACTCCCAACGAAGCGCTCCACTGTCAGGTAGGTGCCACCAAGTGTCAGATTGTTCCTTGGATGTGCTGCAACCTGCGCGTCATGAAAAGTGTTAACAGCTCTTCCTTTGGCAAAATGTATATTGGAGAATTTTAAACATTCAACTTTCTAAAACTGTATCCTGTTAAAAATTTTCTCATAACTCCATATAATAATATCCCATGCAGTTTCAGAGTTTTTGTGTGATACCAGACTTTTACTCTTGTCGTAAATTTGATACGTGGAACCATTCTTTCACTCACTCACTGCATAGTGCAGGAGGAAATTCTTTTAAAAGTCGATTGTACACTCGGCTTGTCATGGAAAATGCATAAAGTATACAAAGTTACGAATATTTTTAAACTTGTTGAGAAATAATGGCTTCTTCATACAAGAGTGGACAGGAACACGCCACGTCGTAGTATTAGGCTCCTTTTCACGCTTCATTGTTCTTTGTTTTGATTTATTGCGCATGCGTAACTACTTTTCAAAAGCGCTAGTAACAGTTGAGGTACTACGTCGTATTGTCAAACATCAGAAGCAGATAACTCACACTTCATGCACTTATTTTTTCGTCTAATAACGAATTATCGTTTATACACAACAGTAGCGGAATGACAGATGAGCGTACGAATTCATCAACTTTACCGGGATATTAATTATGTTTATATGCGATGCGTCTATACATACCCGATTTCGGCGATAAGCCTTCTTAAATGTTTCTTAGTAATATGACATTGTGTTTATAATTCCTTGTCACTGTATATGCTTGTGTAACGTGTGTGTAGTATTAATAAATTTATTATGTGTAAGTGCTTACAAATTTGGCCCTGACAGTGACTCCAGGTTCTGCGACATCCACAGGCTGTTCAGTGCAGTCCCCAAAATTGTGACTCCACTTGGGCGTATCAAAAACCACAGGAGTCACAAATGACACGAGGTCGTCCCACAGATCCGGTGGATTCGGGCCACGATTCAACTGGGAGCCCTGCAGGAACAGAGAAACTTATTGACAGTCGCATTAATAAGTCCAGACACTTTAGTCGTACGAGGGATTGAGAACCGAGCCGAAGACTCGAACGCTCCCATTACTAAAACAACTGAAGAAAGTCAAAATGTACAACGTTGTGAATACATCTTTGGGAGTGCAAATACAGAGTGTCCCAAGAAAAAGTGTGTATATATACACACATTCAATGAATGAATTTTTTTTTAAAAAAACTAAGCGATTATATACGTTAGCAATGGTATCTTGGGAAAATATATTGTGGTGTCATCTGTTAAGTATAGACCACACTAGAATTCTCTTTTTCTGTGTTGATAATTTCTTTGGTTTACACAGTACAACTCAGGACAGCCGGTTTGTAGAACCGATTTGAGAACCTAATATGGCAAGTCGCGCACGTCACTGGTGTTTAATCTCTAAAAAAACTCTGCTGTTCGGAATGTCTTTCCAATATTTACAACTCGGTATGGAAGTTACAGCGATATAGACCGCCCAAGAAATGTGACGCCACAAAGTTCTCGACTCGCTACTCCATTTACTCTAATACTGGATGAACAAAAATTTGGTTGGATTATATTAGAAATGATAATATTTTGGCTATGTAGGATTTGAGGTTTTCACGGCGGTGAATCCAAAGATGGCTGTCCTCAGGGTTGTCGGACCTTGTAGTCTGGTCAAATTTACCAACGTTTCAGAGGTGTTTGCTGCCCCCATCAGGGCGATCTCAACATCATAGAAAACAGTTATCTTATTTGAGTTTAAGCATTGAGAACCTGATGTCTTACAAACTCAGAAATTTTATAAATGTGATAATGTTAATCAGGATTTCATAAAATCTCTTAACACGCGGTTTATAACCATACTTAAATTACACTAAGAACACTAGAAATGTGGTCATTTTTATTATCAGCACATGCAAGGGAGGGAGTTTAACAATAAAACTCATCTGTAGAGTTGAGATTATACTTCATGTGCATAAATCCATTCTAATTCATGAAAGTCGATTTTAGAAGTAGGAATTATCAATAAAAATTGTCTCAGTATTAGACTCGAAGCAAAGGTTAGAATTTATTAAATGATCTTGCTTCTTCTCAGTTAATCCAATTGCTTTCGATTTCGCTTTTCATTTCGACCTCTTTGATTATTTTCACGAATAGAATTTAATCATCATTGTTTCTATTATCAATTGTTCAGCGCATTTGTGATTGAGTTTCTAACAATCAGTTTTGCTATGCTATGAGTACTTTGTCCACAGAAGTCTTTGTTAACGTCCGAAGTTCCTGTGCTTTTATGTGGGATCAGATTGTTTGACATTAACACAGAACATTGATTGGGACAGGGTGACAGAAATACATTTAGTCACAGCGGTTGTGGGATACGAAATGGAGGATCATCAGCGTAACAAAGCTGCTCTATTAGTAGTAAGAAGGGTAAGAGATGACAAGTGACAATAAGTTACAGGGGAACAAAGTTTGAAGGTTCCCGACGACGGTGCCTTGCAGTATGTGAAACTGTTCTTCCGGACTTTTCCCATCAACTAAATTATAAAACTTTGACGTTTCGAAACCTAAATTCTGCTTCCATCTTCAGGTAAAAAATTGAATGAGAACAGAAAGTCCATCTCTTTGGTCCCCTGAGCTAACCTCAGACCTGGACTTGACCAGGGGCCCAACAGCTAGCCTTTGTCCTCGTTCCCTTTCTTATCTGAAGATGGAAGCAGAATTCAGCTTTCGAAACGTCGATGTTTTATGATTTTATAATTCAGATGATAGATAACGTTCAAAAGAATAAATTTACATTTTCAAGAAATTGTTTCAATCATTGTAACTTAATAGAAAAAGATAATGATAATTAAGTTGATGATGGTGATAATGATGATTTGATACATATCACTTGCCTTGATCAAAGCTGCAGCGAGCTTGCGGTACTGACTGAGGTAGATGGTCAAAGTATGCGGACCATAAATTGTTGATGCACCCTCATAACGTTGTACCTGTAAGATGAAAATGGAATATTACTGATAATAGCAAAAATCATTTCTGCACATGGAGCCTATTTATTTGCGTCTAATTTGTGCAGGTATGCACTGACTCTGTATATTGTAACTATTGACATAATTCGGTTCTAAAGGCTACCTCGTACTCCTCTGGCGTTGTGATGTAGTCACTATAAGTGTTGCACAGGCCTGCCACGATGATGTACGAGGGGCGCTGACCGCCACCTTCCGCGACGCCTTCACTTACTGCGCCCCTCAAGCGTCGTCCCGACATCGTGGTGAACTCCCCAGGCACGCAGGCTATTGCCACGGGCCCTATAAGTGCCAGCTGCGTTGACACAATGCGAGGCTGCCACTCGAAGGGAAAGTCCATCTTTTCATTAAACCAGAACATATTTTTAACATAAACTTTTCCGTGTCGCGTGCTAGCGTGTGTAAATAGTCCACATCATTTGTTTTTGACTTTGTCCATCGTGTGTTGAATGTTTCTTAAAAATAAGTATGTCAATCTTTAGGGTTGTACGGTCATGAAGTGTGGTAAAGTTTAACAACGCTTCAGAGGTCCTTGCTGCCCCCATTTTCAGCGTGAAATAAAGGCAGCAAGGACCTCTGAAACGTCGGTACACTTTACGTCACTATGATTTGCTACAACTCAAATGACAGCCATTTTCATACTCTTAGACGTCGGAGTAGGATGGTGCTATCAGCGGACTTTCATTATTTCTATGCTGCATGTATAAAAAAATGCTACAAACAAGAATAAATTTAAAAAATTACGTATTAAGCTTGTGCTACCGAAAGCTTTGTCCAAGCTATTACAACCACTGTGATCGCAAATAGGCCTTGTCGCTTATTTCAGTGTACGTCTGTCTGTTCTTCTCATGTTACTCCTTACGCTCTTTAATTATAATGCGTGTTTTAGTCTCATAGTATTTCAATATGTCATAAAATCATCAGAACATTCATTACTTCGTCTTATTAATTCGCCCAATTACGACGTTATTATTATGTTGACTAACCACTTTATATGCTACGCAGATATTACAAACATTAATGGATGTAAAATTAATTCAGTGCCTAATTGTCGCTCTGAAAGATTTCCGAAGAAACGGCTTGGCATTGAAACAAAACTATGTGATGTAAGAACCCAGCGCTGGAAAGTTGCGTTTTCAATTTAACTATAGTAAGGGAAGTCGATATGAGTTCGCTGTTACATGTTTCAAAGGGGAGAGGACACATTTTGACACCTTCCAAGAAATACGAAAGACGCTAAATCCAGTGCTACCTCCTACAGTCTGTTCTGTAATGTAATGACCAATAAAATGCAAAGTTTTAATCCCTATACAGTCGTGGTAATCTCCCTCGTAATAAACAAAACAAAACATGCACATTTTACAAAAAAAAGCCATTAAGTTATTATAAATTGGTTAACTGGTTTAAGTCAAATCAACCGCAATAATTACTCGCAACTGTCAACACATTAAACAAATCAAACCATTGCTTAAAATATTTCAAAATAATTTAATCTAAATTCAGGTAATGGCTTTGCCCCCACATGAAATGCAGTGGCAATGATCTGATGTTTTGAATTCTGCAGTAGCAGATGAATTATTTGCCCTGATGTAAATCATTCTTCATTTTTGACTTGTTCAACGGAAGCTTGTGACCAGATGTCAGCGTCTGGAATAAGACATTTATTAACGCAATGGTGCGCTGCAATGATTCTGCTTCCAGGCGTCTACCGCTTTAAGTCACGTGATAGGAGATACGTACTTAATGTAAGAGACTTAAGTTTATTATACTTCGCAAGAAGGATGTTTCTGATTACGAATGGAATTTGCTGGATCCCAGGTGCTGGAGCTAAGTGGTGCTCTTGTGTTTTCCATGGTTTCGACGTGATTTAATATTTATATATCAAAGGTTTTCCGATTTTATGAGACAGGTTCTGTTAAAGATACGTAAATGTATCGCCAGGTTCTTGTATTTTGTAGATTCTTACTTTTCCTCCAGATTCTGTAACTTTAATTCTGAAAGGCTCGCGTTTAAATTGCAAACTTAATATTACAGACGTTGCAACAGTGTTGTTTTATGCGATATGGACGAAACGTCGAACACTTTACAAATTTGTGGCCTTTCATACCGCGTCCTTTTCTGTGTGATCTTCTTCATTCTCAAGTCATTTATTAGGAAACGCGCCCAAAACCAAAATGAAAGGCTGTGTCCTTTGCCGGAAATTCAGTCGAACTGTTGCTACGTCTACGAGAATGGGACGAGAAGTCTGAGGTACGCACGTTTCCTGTGGCTAGTAGCACTGGTTTGGCGCCGTGACACGCCACATCAGCTGCCGAGGGCGACGCCAGAAAATTTCGAACTGCGTTCCACAGGGGGTTTTCTGTCTTCATGCCTTGTTGGAACGAAAACGACCCTGGACCGTCTGTCGTTCCAGCAGCGAAGCTGTAACCCATCGCAGGCAAACATCCGCGGACCTAGAGAGACAGATGCAGCAAGTTTGAGAAGTGTCGCATTATGTGACAGCCATTTCATGACGCCTTTTTATTAGAGATTTAAACTTCCCACAGCAGGAAGAATGATTACTTTCTAGATTTTATCTCCTTGTAGACTCGTCGATAGATGCCAACGTTTCGGGGAAACATACTGTCTCCATCATCAGGGTGAGAACCCCAAAAAACATCATCATCACCTTTATATTATGATATTTTATGTTGTCAGTACACATTATATACGTACCTTACATAACGAATGGAAAATACATGCATTTAATTCACATACCCTGTCGTTGTTGTAATTATTTGGTTTAAAAACTTCTTTCTTGCATGTATACGCAGTATGGCAAAATGGATAATATTTTAATTAACACAAAAGGCCTATAACGCACAGAGATTTCATAACTGCCTTTTATATTCATGCTCATGAATGTAGCCTATGCATGTAAGAATGGATATGTACCTAGTGTTTAATTCTTACGGTAAACGAATACTTGTCCTTTGTAGCATAAATGTGTACTAGACTTTGTGTTTAATTTTATTATGATTTGAAATAAAACAACGAAGGGCTCGTGGTGACTTTGTCCATTACAGATGTAAGGAAAAATTGTGTAGGTGATGATTACGTTCACTTCTCGTCGCGTTGTATCGTCGCGTTGTATCGTCGTGTCTTTCTATATATAAGACACTGGCGAGTGTGATTGTTTTCCACCTCGGAGCGTGGGATTGTACGACGGCTGAATGCCTACTCCTGTCATGACTTAATCCACTCTGTTCGCTCAGATTCACTTTGCACCCGGTGAGAACTCATTCTTAGGTTAATGAAACGGTGTTTTGATCTGAAATTTTTCTTGTGTTTCGTCGTGAATTTATTTGGAAATATGCACTGACCATTTCGTAGAAGCTGATCAAGGAAAGATTGTGTTCTATTCTATATTTTGCTCACGTGGGTCAGTAATAATTCGTATTAAAATAAACACTATATTATGGACACTTTAAGGCGAGTGTTTAATAAACTACGTGTGAAATTGTTGTGATACTCACTGATACAGACTTGCGGGTAACATGGTCAAAATACTTCGCTTGTTGTGAGGGCATGTCCACAAACTGATGTATCGCCCCGAGGGGCCCCGTCACCTCCTGGGAGTCTTTGTCGTTCCAGAGTTCCTTAAACAGGGCACGATTTTGTCGTCAGAATTATTCGGTGATTGAATTCACTTTACTTCGATTAACGAATAAAATATATAAACTGTATTCGGCCTTCAGACTGACTCCTTCTTATTGTAATAGTTTTATTTTGAAACCGTTTACGAATTAAACATGTATTTGATATTAGTCTAATTGTTGTTAACTTGTGAGAAATATTTCATCTAAATAATATTTTTTATTCAGTTATACCATTTGTTGATAATATTAAGAAGTTAACAACAAACTCTTTGTGTGAATTCTGGTCTTCCGGGTTATAACGCTGTCGACTAAACACTTGTAATGTGGACACTGTGTAGGTCACACCATTTAATTTCCCATGCGAGCGGCTTACGTGTATTTCCTCATCGTTCATAATGCAGAATCGATAATAATCGAACATCCTCTATAGTTCTCGAAGAAGGCCCGAACCATTTGGAACAAAAATTCGATTGTTTTCTGTGAAGGTACTGTATCACTAGGTGAGATTTCAGATTCTCAAGGCGGCGAGTGTGAACATGGCTTTCTTCTGGGTTGTAGCGCCGAGTACTCTGGTAGAAGTACACCGACGTTTCAGATGTCGCAACGCGACTAAGAATGAACCAGAGGACGCGTCTTATTCGGAATGTCTGAACCGGAAGCCCCTCCGATGGAACTGAACGCACGAAACAGTTTGGTTCGGATTAGGAAAATATCGTTCAATTAAATTTGCATTGTCCATTATTTTGATAGTTTTGTATTTTAATTATAACTTTCAGTTTTCAATTTCGTTCTGATTATGTAAAATATCGATTTAATTAAAATATGCCACAAATTAATGACCCACCCACCATCTATTATGTAATTTAATTTAGAACAGTTTTGTCCAATCAGCAGGTCTTAAATTTACATTAAACACGAGAAACGTTCGAACACTTGCCTTGTAAAAATTATTCTCATTCAAGTTTGATTAACAGTCAGGTACATCTCGTTGGAGAACAAGTTCATTGCTTCTGTTTTGCGTCTCTTTAATTCTCTCTCATAAACGGAAATTCTTTTACAAACTTTCCATTTTTTCCCTGTATTTTCCATAAATTGTCGCGATCAGCTTCGATCAGAGAACCGTCTTATCTGTGTTCAAAGACTTTCAGTTCTGTACAAATCACGGTAATTTTATTAAAAAAATATTTTCAGTCAGATCAACTTCTGTCTTGGTATCACTGAATACGAGGCCGTCTGTCTGCGATTGAACCAAATCGGGAGGGAACTTACCCACGCCTTGCTGAACAGCTTGATGGCGATTGTCCGTGTGCTTTCAAACATGTCTGCCCCGGGACCGGAAGCGATGCACATTTCCTTTCGCCCTGAGCAGCTGCTGCTGTGGAGGTCACAGGGCCGTCCGCTGAACTGACATCGAGCGCCCCTCACATTGGGCGACACGTCGCCCAAATTGCTGGAGGCGAAAGCGGAGACGAAGGGGCCCTTTAAAAGAGAAGCGTTTCCCTCGTGATGAGCAAATTTTTGAGAAGTGGTCGAATCGCTGATGATTATTACTTTTTACTAGTTGTTCAGCTACATGTTTCAGCCCAGTATGGCTATCATCAGGTTCAAATCTAAATGCATTGGAACTGTATTACGTGTTCCTTCTCACGACATTGTCTCAAATTTTCATAAAATTAGGGGTAAAATATTGTTTTAGCTCAAAATTATTAGCACAGTTTTGTGAGTCCGTATGCATTTTAAGTTAAAAACAAAATTTTACTCCTAATATTAATAACATCGGGTGGGAAGAACATGTTTCAATCTTGTAGTCGAATTATTAACTAGCACATATGCTCAGTGACAAATATTGGCGTTCATTTTATGAGACTCCATGTTCTCGTCGCGACGAATATGAACATGACTGTCTTCTGGGATATCGCGATCGTCGCCCTGATGATGGTAGCAGTAATCAACTTTGAAACGTCGATCATACTACGCGCCGTGACTTCCCAGAAGAGAGCCATCTTCGAAGTTCATTTTGTGCGAGCTTTTTCTCAGTACCTTCCCGATGATTCGACCGGGGTTCATACGCTGCTCGAACAAGATGGCGGCATACCCGACATTGTCGCTGGACACTAGGGTGTTGGTGTTGTTCATGCTCGTGGGATGAACGGCGAACCAGTTGATGGCTCCCAGGGGTGTCCCATCGTCCCGCACCAACCTTAGCTGCACCATCGTTTTGTCTACGTCATGTCTGTACCTGAAACGCAAATGTCGTGTGAGCAAACTATCTTAGGTGTAGCCTCCTTTGTTTCGCATAAATCGATTTATCTATCGATTGTCGTGATTTGTCTGTTTACCATTAACCACGTTCTTATGGCTCGCTCCTTGCTCGAATATGATTGTGAATATCGGTACTGGAAGAATTTACGGGGAAGTCAGAGTGTATTTTACGATTCTTCGACATACTGAGTTAGGACAGCCGGACTCCGGAGGCCAGAAGCAAGAATTTAGTAAACGAAAATGCGCACAAATCAATTTTAAATTAGTAGCAGTGCACTTGCCTGCAAGGGCCGAATGAAACCATGATACACGTCAATCAGGACAGTGGGTTTGAACCCTGTTTTTCAAAATTCGAACCCGGAACTACCCGTATACGAGAGAGAAATTACTAATCACTGAACCAAAACGTTCACCTGCTGTGTCCCATTAAGTAACAATTAGATTTGCTGAGTTATTTGTGGGCCTGATTTCGTACTGTGCCCCAAACTACCCCTTGCTGTTTCGTTTGCCCGTAATTCAAAAAAAAAATGAACAGCGCTGGAATAGGTAATCTGCAGTGATAATTAACAAGTTGGGAAATGTAATGTAAGTATTTTGGCACTAATGCACCTCTCAATTCTCGAATGTTAATTTTCGTTCCCTCTTGTAAACAGCGTTAAACGAGGGGGGGGGGAGATGCCCCGTGCTCTTAGACACGCGTGAGAGGACTTGAATTGGCTGACGTACTTCGCGCGCTCGGCGGGCGGATTGGCCAGGTAGGCTGTCGGGCTCCTGTTGATATTGGCACCCTGTACTTCGCCTTGCGTCACGAACACACTGCCTCTCGTCATTGACTCGTGCGCCTTGCGTACGCTCTGAGAACACAAACAATGCACGGACGGCAATTAGTATATTCGTGATATTAACAGCATCGTAGTACACGTGAATTATTTAGCTCGTCAAGGAATGCTCTGTTGTTAACAGCCCAAAGCATTATCACAGTCGTCTTGTAAGACCACCACTGGATTATATCCTAAGCAGGTTGAGTTCAGCTCAAAACTTCTTCGTCTGAGACCCATTTTAATACCGGTATTATATTTCATAAACTCCTCACATTCCCTATTTCGCCTTCTTACGGGATTTTCCAACCAAGTTTTGTATTGCTTTCTTATTCTGCCTGCATGTGCTACATACGTTTTCAGTTTTTCATTCGAATTTCACCAGGCATTTGGTACGGATGTCAAGCTCCACGTTAGGTTAGGTTTTTTCTAGTATCTTATTAATCTGTCTGGATATTCGCATTCTCCACAGGATTTATCTTTAAGATTAATTAACTGTTGTTATCAGAGCAAGGAAATAAGTTTTGAATAGTTACAAAGTTACCGAGACGTTTAGTATTCCTTTCTTTGGTATGATTTTGTTATTTGGGGTAGCAAAAATGTAAAATGATCCAAGGTTCTAAACGGTGGTCACATTCCTTATTTAAAACTTGGCTTTTGCATTTACAAAATTGTGTCGTAAGAGAATCATGTAAAATAATGTTATACAACTTAGTGTTATAGTTTAACGTTGCCTCGCTTACTTCAACTGTTTATAAGAACTTTTTATGCAGACAGAGACGCCGTTTTGTCTCGTTTCCTTTATTCAAAGAGTAAAGTTAACATATGAAATGTGAAACGCAGTATTAAACTTGAAATAGATTTATCGCTGCTGGCGTTAAAAATACGCGCCTACTCACAAGTTATCATTACAGTTTGCGTGTATCAGTTTCGAAAGCTGTGTAAAAAGCTAACAGTAGAATTCGCAATGCTTCAGCTCCCGAGGCAAACTGAAACCAACCGACATCCCACTCAAACAATCGCCGAACGAGAGGCGGGATGGGCGCAAGGCACGTGTCAAACAGAAATATTACGCGTAGTTCCCGGAGTGTTCATGGGGGTATTTTTTAAAAACCTTGAGCCTCTACCATAGTTTATTAGTGGTACAGAATTATTCTTATTGAGTTCCTTTTTTCTGTTCTTTTTAAACGTAAAACTCATTCACGTGTTTGCAAACAATGGTGGAAATCGAGGTGTTTCTGAATTTGGTATTATAAAATGTTATTGTTGCTTGCTGGTCGGCTTAGCTGCTGGTAAAGCATGCTACGATGCTGACGAGGGTCAGACAAGACATTGTTGCCAAGTTTTGCTTAAAACAATTGTTGATTTACGTTGGGAATGTCGTTGAACACTGGGTCCCATAGAAGCAGAGGACTGGACTTGATAATGGGAGTTGGAATTTGTTCACGAAACATACAAAATTGTAGGGGTGAAACGAATTTTCTCCCCATACGTCACAACATTACTTCCTTAAAGTAAGGATCTTGTAGTAACCCTGGAGGTTAATATTGAGATTAGTTTCTAAACTTGTGGTGCGTAGTTTGCCGTGGATTTACCGGCAAAAATGGCAAGTCTGAAACGAAGTCTGTTGTCCGTACAGATGCGTCTTGTAAAATGCAACTCACTTTAACAATGCCTGATGTCAGCACCGCGAAGGTTTGGCGCACGAAGCCAAGGATCGAGAGGTCGAAGAGTAGATTCTGCATGTAGCCACCTGGCGTCGAGTGGGTGTGAGATCCACTCAGCATCACGTTCTGCTCCGTGTATAGATCCCCGTATGCTGTCTTCAGACGCGCCAGGACCTGAGAAATTTGCCATTTTCAGCACAAACTCAGAACAGCATCTAGACACGCGGCCGGCATTTGACTTGTACTCAACAGTAGCTTATCATGGCTGCAAAACTTGTAGAAATACTTAGACAAGATTTTCATTTGTAATTTTAGTGTTTTTAAAAATAAGAGTTAGAACTTTTATTTTGTTAAAATTCGTTAAGGAGTCGTCAGAAATATTGGACACAGACGTTGACAAAAATCCTGTAAAATTATCGTGTGATAGTGCAAGATGTTAAACAAATTTATTAGGTGATTATATTTGACTGATATAAAGCAAAATTAAAGTCACACAAATTTTGGAGTAATCTCCTAACACAAAGTTTATCCGCCCTCCAAAGCAGGCTTTATTTGTGAAGTAAATGGACACACGGACACCACCTACTATCAGGTGTTAATTTCACGCAATTTCTGCAAAGAATATTGGCTCTAAAAGAGGAGGGCTACAAAGATCAGACGTGAAAGGCAATAATTCTGAGCCATTGCACGATGCAACGCCCCTGGAATGATAAAGGAATGTTCACACTTAGGTAGGACATAACTGCGTGGTAACAGTAGGTCGTCAAATGGGGTATTAGCGGAGAAGCGAGATTAAACAGTTCATGAAGTGGTATAACGCTGTCAGGTGGAGAGAGTGTTCGCCCCGTTTGTCTGAGCATTGTTTGTGTGGACGCCATAATGCATGAGTTTCCATCTGACGTTGACAATGTCCTTAAGGAGATGTACTTGTGTTCCAAGAAATTAATATTTGTCACATTCATGTCCTGGGCATAGAGAATGCATATGCTTCAGCGAACTCCTGAATCTCACCCTTGAGAACGTGGACCAGATGTTTCACCTAACAGCCCCGAAGCCTTCCCCCTGCCTCTGCTAATTACACTCATACGTACTACATACATACAACTTTCATAACCATACAAAACCACAAATATGATCCAATGATTTTGTTTCTGTACACAGTTTTGCGTTTTTTAAATGGAATTACTTTAACTTTGCGCTTATGGGCTGTTTCTTGTAAGAATGTTAAGAATGTTACTGTACCTCTTTTCGAAGACCATTTGCGATCATAGCGCAATCCACACTGACGAACACAAGCCTGTGTTTTCCATCGTTGAATATAAAAGCCCGTGAAAACTGTCGCAGATGAATGCCTGTCCCTTTTTGGCGCATTTTCGCGTAGCCCATCTGAAATACGTGAACAAATTGACATCAATGTTTATTGCAGATACAATTTTAACCGAACAAAACTGATCGCGTTTGCAAATTACGCTTTGTACAAGAGCCAGGAATCCTTTCTTTATTTCGTTAAATATTCATCACACAAAAAATGGTTGCAATTAAAGCTGTCGATAGTAAAGCGATCTGTATTTTACATTATGTCACAGTTCTTTGTAGAATGAACTATTTTAAAAATCGAAAAAGTTTAATTTGACTGTCATGGTTATACTGAATCGACATGGACCAAAATTTATATTAGTAAGGAAATGCTTTGGGAAGATTTTCGATAGGGTATTTTATCGAAATCCGTCGAGTAGGGTCAAAAACTAGACACAAATCCTGTTTAGATGTAAAGGAGCTCATCCGGACAGACATGTTTAATTCACAAAATTTTGTGCAGAGAAAAAGTAAAATCCATTGTGGGCGAAATACCGTGATTGACTGCTGAGGCAATGCACACGAAACAGAATTGGCCGCCCCGGTTTGTTATTGGTTATTGGTTACTGGTTACTGCGTTCCCTTGGGTCTGGATTTTTTTAATTCGCTTCACTCATTATTTGGTACGAAGTTGCTCCGTTTTTTCCATTTTCTATCGCCAGATTTCGCAGGTGTGTGTATAAATAATCAAATACTAATGGCAGGAAGATAGATCGAACAAGCTAGCCGGAAATGGCTTGTTTAATTTGTTAGTCTCCCTGAGATTATTGTGTGGCATTGACGAGTAAACGCTGCTAGTGAATTAGAAGCTTTCAACTAACAAAACGAATTGCATCTTCCAGTCTGTCTATTTGGTAGCACTGAAGCTTGTTTAACCCCATCATTTGCAGAGGCATTTTGTCCCTCTGAATGCGCTCTCCCCATTTAAAAAACGCTTTATCGACGGGGATGCGTCTGACTGAAACATTTTCCAGTGATGGACAGAGCAGTTACAATCTGTAGCAATTCACGTCTTCAATAACTTGTTCACAAGAGTTCGCCACTGTTCATTATTATGCTTCGTATGAATACAGTCTACAGCCTATTTCTTTAGGATCCATTTTAATATTATCTCCCCACAATATTTCGGTTTTCAAGGTAGTATCTTCCTTTGTCTTTGTATCTTATCGTTTAATCGCTGTGTATTTTATATTATTTTATTTATTTTCTCAATATATTTTATCTCTTCCATCAATCATGAGTAAATATTGTATTGAAATTTTAATTGTCCTCTTTGTGACAACTCGTTTACCTACGTCATTTGATGCCCTAAAATATAGTTCACAAAGAAGTGGTCGTAAAATACTGCTATTTGCATTCCTTAGTCGAACATAAATAAGAGTGCACATAAATAGAAATGACATTTTCAGAATTTAGACTCTGAAGTAACGTCCATTGGTGGTGATTAATTATGAAATAAATTATAATTTCTTGTCGTCGGTAAACAATACTAGGCACTGCGCTAGACGTTTCACAGAGCGGAACAAGAAGTAGTGAGAAGAGCATTACGTCTCCAAAATATGATTGATTAACGATGCAGAGAGAAATATTCACAGAGGAATATAAGAGGAAATTCACGTAGACTTACGGAAAACCAGGGTAATTAACACTAAAAATTAATAAACATATAAGCCTACTGTAGGCGACTGTAATCTTGAGACTTGCAAGGAATGCAGGAAGTCCGAAGCGTTAAAGGCAGACACTATCTTTCCTCCTTCACCCCATTTCCTCACCCCGCAAGTCTCAAGATTACAGTCGCGAACTATACTTACAAATCCTATTTCCGCGGATGGACCAGTGACATCTGCAATACCGACACCAATCTTGTAGCCGGCCGTGACCCCTTGTGGGACGACAGAGAGCAGAAATACCGACACAGTGAGAAGCACAGGTGGGGACCTCAAAGGGTCCATCGTTCCGCGACCTGAAAGCAAGTGGGCACCACCGAATTATTTCTTATGCAGATTAATTTTCGTTTCGTATTTATTTCGAGACAATCCTTCCGACACGCTGTTGAATCCCTTGGCTGGAGGACCAACCCCTCTCCCGCAAGCATCTAGAACAACACATGCCACACACCGAGGGCATTTGAACCCACGACCTAATACCTGGCAGTGCCTTTGCACCGAGTGCCCTCTGGTATCAGTTCGTGCGTAATCCATTTCTCATATCAGATTCGATCACTGGTGCCAAGAGATTTAATCCAAAGTACAATGTGCTCATTCACCTGGATTAATATAGAGATAATTACTTTCATGAAGATTCTTTAGAAGTCTGTGGCGATGGTTGCTTGCTTGCTCGTGACTTACCTGTCTCACAATTAGCTGCCAGGAACTTCGGTCCCGCGTCATAATGAAACAACAGAACAATGAATCTGTAGTAACCCACTTAGTTTAGTCTATTTATTTACAGTTTATTTAACGATGCTTTTAGATCTCAGGCTTTATAGCGTCGAATGAGTGGATTATGGGGAAAAAATAATTGGAGGAATATGGAAGGAAGCGATCGTGGTACTACCCGGCATTTTCATGCTCACAATGCCCTGCCATCGGCCCTGTCCTGAGCCAGGTGAAACCAATTCACATCCTCCAAAATATTGACCTTGATATTCTTTTTAATATTATCCTCCCACCTACGCCCATGTATTTCGAGTTGTCTCTTCCCTTCAGGAACTTCGTACGTATTTCTTACTCCCACACAAACATTTTATAATAATAGCCTTCTGTTAATGTTATGTAAATGAAACATTATCAACAGGTTTTAAGATTAGGGTTTAGAATAGCGTGCTTTTGTGAACACGGTTGTGAACGTTCAGATTCTATAGAAGGCGGAAAATGTTATAGATTGTCTGAATGACATTTTTCCTGCTCAAGAATAACCCTGCTGTGTGCAGTTCGTAGCAGAACGAAACTGTGGAAGCAAATGTATTTGACGGGTTGTAAAAAGATTTATTTATTTTCTGTTTGATCACGTTCATTGAAGTTCAGATAACTAAATGCGTCTTGTCAGAAATTGTAACGAATTATAAACAGATACTTTACCATAATCAGTGAGTTCAGATTTGCTTTGAGTCAATAACAGATATTTTCCTCATCACTATACAAAAAAGGAACAAGCTAGCAACAAACTCTGGTAACTGGATAGTATCTTGACTTTCACATTGTGTAAACATTTAAAACCATAGTTCGGGGATGAGCCGCATCGAATGTTGAAAAATTACCCATTTCGACAAACTTTTCATCTGCCATCTTCAAGGTGAATCCGACTAAAGCTTCGCCCTGAAGTTGGAAGCTGCAGTGTTTGCCGAAATGTTGGATAATTCTCAACATTCGACGCGGTTTATCTGCGAATACGCAAATTAATTGAGTGTGTTTATACAATGTTTGGGGGCATTGTGGAGAATTCCAGATAGATAATTTAAATGGCCGATCCCAGTACAGCTGAATCTTTACAAATAATTCATCTCGTGAATATAGCAGTACCACGCATGTCATTTGGTTTTAATTATCTTTAAAATTATACACATGTTGCACAAAAATTAATCGCCGTTTTATATTTTTAGATGATACAGCTTAAAACATTTCGCTACTCCGAAGAGATCTGCGAAGAAAAATTTGCAAACCATTGATCTGTAATGACGCTAATAAATTTGTACGAATTGGCGTCTTTTGACGTCATAATGTACCCACCTTTCAAGAGGTAACTTCTTCAAACAGAAACGTCACTGAATACAAGCACTGCACAGACGTTTAGGACAGACGTGTTGAAAATATTTATTCCCGTTCATTTTCAGGTAAAATTATTACAGCTGAAGTCTTTGTCCTGACGCATGAATTCCATTCGCCAAACTGTCTTGTCGTTCTTGCAGCGTAGTCGTTGATAAGATACCAGACGCACTTGTGAAGTCATCGCACAAACAGCCTTTGCTTCCGAGAATGACAATTTAACCAGTCTTGATCTCGAGCATGTGCCAATGAGCGGCAACATTCATTGGAGTCATGCACCTAATTTTTATGTCTAACCGGGGAGCGCAGTGTTATTACATGCTTACAGTTTATCCTTTAATCCTTGGACTCTCTTTCTTAACGTCGGTACTGAGACGAATATCTGAGTTAATTCATAAATTTCCTGGTCCTGTTACTTTTCCGCGTGTTCAAATGGCTTTGTATTGTGTTTCAGAAATACAAATATGGCGATCATGCGAACTTGACTTGATCCGCTATTGTTTTGATTTGACTTGACTGAAATTAATTTTGGCTTGACTTTAATTAGATCTCGTCGACAGAAATTGTGTGCTGTTCTGCGTTTCAAATGTTATGACTAATTTCTACCACAAAATTCACAGCAAAATTGAACAAGACGAAAAATGTATTTGCAAAATGCGAGTACTTTGCTAAAATACGCTTTTCCAGCCATGTCCATATGGTGGTCTACCAACTTTTCGAAGGAACATACTGCCTCCATCGTCAGTAATGATGTTTTGATGGAGGTCAATTTTTTCTCCGAGACGCTGGTAATTACGTATTATACTACAGGACTTAACAACGCACAAGACCGAAATGAACTTCTTTTCCGCCATGACAATCTTAAATCTTACCACTCTCTTTTAGGTTGGTAATATTGGGTAACAGCAGTTTTGACGTGTTATTTAAGTACGTGCCCTTGTATTTACAGACGCCATGCGATCGCTTGAGGACGCAAACAGCTTTCCTGTTCATGATTTTACTAAGGCATTTCTTTGAGGCGCGTGGTTGCAACGTATTGCATTGGACCTCCCAGGTTACGCGGGCCACAGACTGAAAATTACTGCTGTGCGTTGTGCTTCATAACGCTCCCCTATGACAAAGAAAGGGTCTAAATCGACTTCTATCGATTTCTTACAACACAGCCTACGAGTGTCCTTTGTCAACAGGGTCTGTATAATTGTGCAAGGACATTTTGCAATGTTGCTGTTACAAATAACATCTTTTGATCACTTACGACAGGGAAACTACAGTCAATGACAACAAGAATTAATGACACAGAGAAACGTATTTGCGTAGGAGCAATTCATGATATCACTGGGAACATGGGTCTCTGTCACTTTGACTTTTCAACAGCGATGAGCGGACCCACACCCGAGAATTGTCCGCGGCAAAGATAATGTATGACGCCAAATGTTCAACAGGTTGTCTTCAGCAGTCGCTTAGTTAATTTCATATCCTAGCCCATTATCGTCACTTTGGTATGAATTATAATAAAGGCGAAACACGAAACTTAAAGCAAGATATACGCGTAGTGTATTACACATTAAAGTCCTTTGAATGTGCACAGAAATGAGTAATAATGTTGGCGGTAATTTGCTTCATGCCTTTGTTTTCGCTCTTCGGCCATCTTAGGTTTAGTCACGTGTTCTAAGACAAAAGTTTATCAGATTCATGACCCGCGTCAACAGTAAGAATCCATTAGTGACGTAAATAAGACGTATCAGGAAAAGAGACATTATCATATCTCTTTGAATTGACTTTATTTGTATTTGTATTTGAGGTTTTCACGGCGGTGAGTCCGAAGACTTCTACCGACGTTTCAGAGATCCTCTCTGCCTCCAACATTAGGGTCCTGATGAGATAGGGAGCGGGTACTCATGAAACGTCGGTAAACTTCTACCAGACTACACAGGCGGTACAACTCAGGAGACAGCCATATTTATTTACGTTAGATTTAAAAAAAAAAACTCTCCTTAACGTCGCTTTGACTAAGCACCATTAAGCATCACCGAACAAAAGTTCCACGCATTGCAAACTTCGGTACAAATGAGATGAGTTGTCAGCTTTACCCTTCGTCCGTGTTTGTTCAAAGAAAGGAAGCCCTGATATTTATCTCCAAAAATGAAATCGTCTCCATATTTAATGTTACGCTATTTTAACTTAATTTATCTCAAGAACGCAAGTCGTATTTATATTTGCCACCGTTAAAACCTGAAGTCTTACCGATGACACGTACATATTTTAAGGAAATTACCTGTTCCGTCTCTTATACACTCCTTTTATTTCCAAAGACTCCTGACTTCGGCACTGATTATGGAGGCAGCGTGTTCCTCGTAAAACATTTAACAAACGACGCGACAATTCATTAAATCGTTAATATTGACATCGCATTGAAAACGTTGAATCTTTCAACGTAATTCTCCTTACTTTTCGTTTATAATATTTCAGTATGAACAGGTGTTAGGAGTTGAACTTGACACTTGCGCGTAAGTTATTCATGATAATCGTCACAGAAACAGGATTAGAACTTTCTCACAGGCACAAATATAATTACAGTTTGGAGCCGACATCCAGACAGTCTACAGAGCAATTAGCAGTTGTGACGCGATGATGTATCGTCCCTATTAACTACAGAGTGGGTAATTACATCCCGTGCAAGAAAGACGCGGGATATTTTGAAACAGCGATTATTTTTAGGTTGGCTTATCAATCACTGACGTGTGCATCAAGGACACGTCTTTATACAACTCGCATTTACCATTATATATCGTAATAAACAAGAAGATGTGCGTAAAAAAGGCATGAATAGGATAAGAAATGTGGCGAATTTTAAGTTGCTGAGAGATTACAAATTATTGAGAAATGTGGATAGTGCTACTGTCGATTGTACGGTCCTGGTGTTTCAGATTGGGCACAGCAGTCTTTTAAGAAAATTCAATTTCACACTCGGAAACCATTGGAAGGAGTCGTTATTGTCTGCGCACGTTCTCATGTCGCTTGTTATCCGGTGGAATGAAAAGAATGTGCGTATACAAATGCTTTTTAAGGAGGTCCAACGTCGACAAAAGGAACAGGGTGAAATCAGACTTGCCATTATATTCTCACTTACGTCAAAGCGTTGCTCTTCTATGAGAGATATAGGGACCCAAGTATAAATAAATCACGCGACAGTAGCATTTTTATATTGGCGTATCTTCAGAACAAAAAGTTTACTCGAGAATTTAAAAACCTTATTTTCATTTAACTGGGAAGTACCCAAAGTATTGTCCGTGGACCACAGGTGGTCCGTGAGCTACATTCAGAATAAGTAATTCCAGAAAAAACTAAACAAAAATAAATTATCGTCCATAAGCAACTAGTTTAATGCGTAAAATTGTTCTTGTGGACTTTGTTTATCGTATGAATTTTAAATTATAAATCCTTAAAATTTCGGAAACCTCATTCTGCTTCCATCTTCGGGTAGAAACGGGGGGAAAAGAACAGATAACCTGTCTCTTGCCCCCCACCGACCTTGCAAACCACCGATACGATCTAGGTCTACCTGAAGAAGGAACCAAAATCTAGCCCCCGAAACATTATGCTTTTACAATTTACACAATTGATGAAGTCCAATAGGACAATTACACATTTTATTACGCACTATTGGCAGAAACATTCAGATAAGAATAACAGACTTCACGATGTCCCTGTTATCAACCAGTGATCTATACGGCAGCACATTATAGTTGTTAAACAACAAGCAGAAAAATCATCAAGTCCCTCAGCAATTTTCAAGAGATCCGAGGGAAAATGTTTTGGACCATTGAGTCAATTGATCACATATGTGTAGAAAGGAAAGCATAAATTGTTAATTAATTAATTAATAATTAAAGATTGCTGTCATTGGGTTGTTGCGCTGTGTAGTCTGGTAGACGTCGATCAAGGTTTGAGAGGTCATGCTGCCTCCGTCCTCGGCATGATGACGGAGGCAGCATGACCTCTGAAACGTTGGTTAACATCGACCAGACTACACAGCGCAACAACCCAGAAGACAGAAATCTTCATACTCACCGCTGTGAAAACCTAAAATCTTACATAATTAATAATTACAGAACATCGTAATCTATTTTTATGTATAATTAACTTTAATATAGATTTACATTACCTTGTTACTTCTTTCCGATAACGCGTTTGTTATTGGTGGAATCCCTTCACTGACTTTACGTGTGGGCGCATAAGTGGCTTTAAAAGTCACAGGGAATGCGACCTATCACTCTTCCAGTTCAAAAACCAAAACCAAAATCGATAAACAAATTGCTTGAATGAAGAACGCTTTAATCAATTTTCTTCCGAAGAACGTTTAGAATAATGCTGTAACCACTTAATTCACCTTCACTGTGTCGAGTCCGGGGGAAAGTGCGGCTGATTTAACAGACCGAAGAGATTCCCACAGTGTAACATTGTGTGAGACTTCCCAGCAACAGATACTCGGAGGAGGGCAGATGCTCGTCTTTCACAACGTTAAAATTTTCGTGTCTAAATTGACCGTCAAATTAGCTTTAATCAAGGGGTCATTCATAAAAAAAATATACTATTTCCCCTCATTTGGCGTTATTTTCTATTTATCCCCTTCCTCCGTCTATTCTTGCGTAAGTTCTCGACACATTTCCCTCCCCCGACGTCCGTCCGACCCCACGCCGTAAAGCCCCCGATTCCCACCCAGGCTTACCCTCCACTTACAACCCCTGTCTCCGTGATGTGATCCCTACTCATCTCGTTGTCGCAATTAAGACACAGACGCATTCTGCGTGTTCTTGTACCCTGAGCACCGAACGGCCATGATACTGCAGTCAATTGTCTACCAAATTTTTTTTCCAGGAAATATAACCACGAACGTAATTCTACAAGTTTAATCTTCGGTGTGACGATCAGTGGCTGTTGACATGAACACCTGGAGTTCACATGTTTACCAGACGCACTTTTTGAGGTTGTGCACCCTGCTGTATGTAAGTCATTGGCCTTGATGACATTTTATTGAAGACACATATTTGCTGCAAAGATCATCGTTCTACGAGTCGCGTTTCATTAAATTCGTGTTTCCGTAGACCAACACACCCTGTGCTTTAATGTGCAACCACATCCAAAACACAGGATGTGCTTTCGTGGACTGTGTTATGTCGCTGGAGACAAGGTAATGAGTCTCCTTTAGCTTTCACTTTAATTCCAGAACCAAATTAATTGTGGCAGAGAGGTTATGCAAACGTGCAAAACACATCTCCAGTTTTGTAACAACAAATTGCAACATCTGTTTTTGTTCAAAAAATTTGTTTCGCTTTCCAGGTATCTAAATTATTTATCACTAATGTACGCATTCTTTGAAGAATTTATTTTTTCATGCCAGGCATTAGGCATTCTCACACAACCTCTCAACCCGCTGAAAGGAATCTGTCACCACAATGAAACATAAAAACTTCCAAAGTACCTGTTTGTAGTTCTTTCGAAAGGCCTGAAGAGAACATGCAAGACGAACCTCTCGTTCTCGTTACCATAGCAACTAATGGCAGGCAGAGCTCAGGATGTTTGCTGTTTTTGCTGCAGTATTGAAAAGGATTGGCCATGACAGAGAACAGAGGACTCTGATTGTATCAACGCATTGCCCGTACAGAACATTTCCATTGCGAAATATTTTAATTCCGTGTACATTGTCAGAAATTATATCCCGATTCGTCATGATGACTAATTATGACCTTTAATTTTCGTATGGAAATTTTTTTTTTTTTTTGGCGTTGTAATCTTTTAAAAAACTTTCTGCCAATTAATGAATACCTTATGATTGATAATTAAGATTCGTAACAATCGATTTTAAAATCATGACGTACCAGTCACATTATTACTAGTATCGTTCCTTGACAATATCGCTCGTAACACGGCCGCGCTGTCCGGGAGAAACAGTTGACGGTATTTTATGGCTTGCTCCAAGATATTGTTCTTTATAGCCACAAGCGTCTTTTCTTTACGACAACTTCACACTGCCTTTAACCCATATATTATTTTATTGTAACTGGATTTGGAATGTTTCCATTTGACTACGTAGAATTGTTGGTAAACACTGTTGTACTGCTGAATATTCCAGGAAGTTGTCTTTATAACAGATGCAAAGAAAATATAATGGCGCTGTATCGGACTCGAGTGTAAAGCTTTACGGTTCAATTGTAACGCCAGGTGGCGCTTTGCCGAGGCTGTTGTGGAGGCTGTGAGAGAGTGATAGATTTTTCTTAATCGCTGTATCTGGGGTTGACTCTGCGGTGATCTGAGTCGTGTACATCAAAAATGCTGTAAATTCTACGTTTCTTGTGCCATTTTGTGTTAAAAGCACGATAAAGTCTTCCAGTTTTACCCTGAAGGTGAATTAGGGGTCATTTCAGCTACAAATCTTTGGTGACTGGGAATATTGTTGGACTTGTTTAAAATATTTTTAATTCTTGGCGAAAAAGAAAGATGGAGGAGCTAACTTCATGCATTAATATTTAATACCTGCTTGTTGATTTATAAAGACTTAGTTTAAACAAGAATTTATATTTACCGTGGTAAAGTGCAACACTTGTTAAACTTCTAGTAGCTTGGGGTCTCTCGTTTAAATGTTACTGAGAGTGATAAACCGCCCTCTGGAGGATCATAAATGTTTGTAAGCAGCGGTAACCATAGCTTACGTCTTGTCTCGTTACAGACACGTACGTTACAATTTGTGTATGCGAGATGTGCCAGGTTTGAATCACATGCAAGTAAGGCTGAAGCTTCCATTTTCAAGATTCATTAATTCCACTTTATCATGTGTCTTTCTTACATTCTCCTTCATTTATCGTCATTTGATGACAAACATGAAAAAAACTTCGATACTATAAATGTATGTAATATTAACAATGACGTCGTTCTGTATTCGCCGTACCACGAGCGAAAGACTTTGTTCTATCATGTAAACTTTGTACCGTAGGCAGAGATCGACAAGAACTGAAAGGAATCGGTCGCTGCCTGTTTTAAACTCTATTTGCTATCCTGGAATTTCCCTGGAGGGACCAAGAAAACCCACGGAAGACCTCGTTAGAATAGCTAGCCTCCGGGAAGTCTGTCTGGGACCTTCCGTTCAGTAATCGCAAACCACCGAATTCGTGAAACTTAAAACTCTAGAAATGAAAGTTGTAGCGAAGAATGTGAACAGTTATTTAACTCGGGTGTCAGTACGGCACTTACCTTAGAGTTATTTCCACGGCTGTTGTATCAACGCTGAACTGAAAAATTCTTGCACATAGTTACGATATTAATCCATAGTTTCACTTCTAAACACGCAGTAATAAAAACAAAATGACGTAATGACTTCATTACAAGCATTCACAACACGCACCTAAAACAGTAATATATGAATCTGAATGGTATGTTTCTGTTCCACCAGGTAGATAACAATGGACGATAGCATCGCATGCGAGGATGTTCCTACATTGAAGCAGGAAGGGTGACGTACACTTTTTGCACACAGCACACACTACTTTTAAGCAAGAATGAATTATGTCATCGTTTTAGCAATTAGTACAGATAATGGCAAGCATGTTACCTCACGTAATGCTAGCCAACCAAGTCTAAGAAAGGTTAACACCCTCTGGAGTACGTAGAGTCAGTCACGCGACGTCTTCTGCTCGCAGTCAGAGTCACCGGCTGAAAACAAGAAATCTTTGTCGAAGCTCAAATAAACAGTATTTAAGAATTCAGTCCGTACCGCAAAGAAAACACAACACTTCACCATTACGAAGATCAACTGGTTAACGCTGTTTAAGGAAATAATCGCTGTTTATTCTAAGAGTCATACTAATCAACTAAATACACTGTGTGGGTAAAATACAATCACTGAATGTTATAGCTGGTGGTACATATAGTTACCACTGAGCTTTAAGAGATCAGTACATATTTATTTCTTTAAATACTTTCAGACGCTGGGAGCGTACCCGATCGGTACAGACATTTAGATGGTTGAAGCAAGTAACTAACCACGGTTCTTTTCCTTAGATGAAGAATATGTGGAGCTTTACCTCCATGGTGTGTTGCTTAGTCACAACGCCTTTATTGCTCGTGTTTTAATGCTTGAAATTAATTTCCTTTTTCACTAACCTTGGTTGTTATAATATATATAACGCTCCGTATTGTCTTTTAGTCTTTTCGTTGGTGTCGGTATGGTAGCGTTATCTGCAAAAAAAATCCCAGATTCTCATGTGACTGCGGATATTGTGCAATTACTATGTGCCTCTGTAGTGTAGAATAATTAAGTTCTACTCTGTCGAAATAATATATAAAATACTTCCAACCAAAGATAATATCTAACAACATAAAATAACATCCAGGATGCTGAATCTCTTTTCTGTCTCCAATTTTTTAAATGCAGAATATGTCGAGTATCAATTTATAGCTCTTTTTACCATTATCTTCATTGTTGTTACCAACATCTTAATCATTATAATCATCAGTATCAGTATCATAATTAAGATTGTTATTAATATTAGCATTGTCATCTTCAATATCGTCACTATT